TAGATAAAGACATTCTCCCTTCCCTCCCAGCCCCAATTGATTCCTCTGTCAGGGAGCCGTTGATGGAATACAGCTTCCCCAGGTCTGATTTTCAACTAGCCAGACGGTAAAGCTCGACTGCGCGGCTGCAGAATTTCTCTGCTGATGTATGGTCTGCAGCTTCTGTAACAGCGGCACAAAGATCTGGGTACTGGAATCCTCAGGGGCACAAGCGAGGTGCTCCTTAGGCCCACAGGGTACTCCCCAACCCTGTCACAGTCTCTTTTGGTGGCTGACACCAGAGAACCAGCACTTACTCTTATGAGTTCCTGAAGTTCCATCCCGAGACTCTCACAAGGCTTTACCAAATTTGGAGACACGCCAGGGAGAGAGCCTCCTCCAGGTGCTGGGGGCAGAAGTGGATGCCGACACTCAGACCCTCCAGGTTGGGCCAAAGAAGGCGACCCTACCACGTGGGAGGAACTGGGGACCCTCAGTTTTCTGTGCTCTTGTGGGGGACTGGGAGCTTTGTCAGCAGGCCTGGGACAGAGGGACTGTGGGGCAGCCTGGGGGTGGAGCTGTAACTGAATGGCGTGACAGGTGCTAAGGGCAGCTCTGTCCCATATGGACCTTACTCTGAAACCACACGACCCAGCTGTTCATCTAACTAGCCAATGACCTGGTCCATGAAGAGTTTTATGGAATGTAAGAAGGAGCTATCAGGAATCCCTTGGAAAATCCCTTTTTTCTTTACCCAAAAAGGATCTGATTTCCTGTGGGAAGCACCTGTTGAAGATCAGACCATCAGGATGTGCAGGTTTCTGTGGGGCCCAACCCCTGCCAGCCTCGTGGGGGCTTCTGTCTTTGTTGGAAGCCGTGGCAACTGCCACTGCAGTCACTGCCATGCTCACATTTGCAGAAGTTCACCGATGTGTGCATGTATGTGTGTGTGTGGTACCATGTGTGTGGTACCGTGTGTGACATGCTCTATGTTGTGCCACATTATATTATTTGTGGTATATGTATGTTGTGTTGTACACATATGTGTGCACTCCCTCGTCGGTGTTGTGTTGTTATTGTGTGTGTGCACTCCCTCATTGGTGTGTGTGAGGCGAGCTGTGTGGCTATGTCATCTGTGTGCTGAGCGGTGTCCCCTGCTCTGAGTCCCGCAGGGAACTCACAGACGTCGGGGTGGCTGCTCGTGTGCAGGCACAGTCCTGCTTTCTGACTCTGGCTGGCCCCTTCCTGCAGCCCCTCCCTCCCCTCTTGCACAACCACACTCTGGTGCCAGTGCCCAAACCACCCTGGGATTTGAGGATACAGGCTGTTACTTCGCAAACTCAATAAATCAGCCCAGTAAGAAGGCTGAGGCGGCTGGATATTTGTCAGACAAATGGTTTTCCCGGGGAGCATAAGAGCCAGCTGATGGCTCACTACTGTGATTTGCCAGGACCGAGCTGTGAGTCATGCCCAGGGTTGGCCTTCCAGCCGCAGAAGGTAATTATTTCTTGCACTGTGCCCGCAGCCAGCAGCAGCCCCTACCCATGTGCCTGTATGCAACTCACCCAGGTCACTGTTAAATTAGTTCTTTTATTTCGTTTCCTAATGAGAAGAGGCCCTTTACCATTTTTATGAAGTCAGCAGCTTCAACATTAATACCTAATGTCCAATCTCTCACAGCGGGAATGTGGAAGCGTCAGAGCCAGGAAAAGGAAAGATAACTTACCCGATGCTCCGGTGCGGAAACTCACTAGTTGAGTGGCCCTCAGCCCACCAGGCCTGAGGACAGCACTCAAAAGGAGCAAGTCACGAGAGGCTAAGATCCCAGTGCCCTGTGCTGCTATGAACAGGCCCCTCCCTGTTGTCTGGGTGGGGGGTGCCTGGCCTGCGCGGCCCTGTCACTCACTCTCAGTGCTTCAGAGGGAATGGCAAGAGGCAGGGGTGGTCTGTGGTGGGGGTACTTAAGACGAGAGCCGCCGGGGTCATGGCACTTACCTGAGACCAGAACAGGCACTGATGCTGGCCAAGGAATCATCGTGTCCTTGCACATGTCCATGGTAGTAACAGTGACCCTGAAAGGGATGGGGAGAAGGCTGGTCACTCAGAATGCTTTGTGCCGACTTTCAAGCCAATGGCCTCTAATCCTCCACTTGTTTTGAGCTGTAGAATGTCTTTGTTCTGACACATTCAATGCTAAGCCCCATGTGACCTAGCCAGGGGCACGTGATTTACTTAGAGATTAACAATCGGACTTTAAGATTCATCAGTTCCATTCTTGCCCCTCTGAAGTGCTACAGGGAAGCCCCCCGATGCAGACTGTTTTACAGAATCCAGAGCAGAACAAGTCACGTTGACATTGTCATCTGACCCTCATATCAATTGTCTTTTGTAATGAGATGAAGAACTGTAGCGAGGTATTTCAGCACCTGTGAAGCAAAGTAGATGGAGGCCTAAATCTATGGCTCGTGAAAACAGGAAAGCACAGGCGAGGAAGGGGGAGGAAAGAAAAGGAAGAGGGGCGGCACCGAATACCTGAGTGAGAGGTGAAAGGCTCTCATCAGGAAAGCAAAATAGGAAGCTCCTCTAAGACAAAAGCGCCCTGGGACGTGCCTAATGTCCCGCTTGCAGAGAGAACCACAGCGTGATGCCTGCTTAGTGAAGACAAATGTCCATCCAGAATCCAGCTCACTTTCACTGCTGGACACGGGTCATGCAGTAGCGCCCATTAAGGGACCACTGAGCACATCCAGTGCTCCTCCCCAGGTTCTCTGGAAGCCGGCTGCCTGCAAGGTCCCCGAGGGTTTCAGTCTGTTTCCATCTCAGCAAAAGGCTCTCTCACTCACGAGGACACAACTTAGTGGCCAGTTGTCCTGCCCAGCAGAGACTATCTTGGCTTTGCTAAGAATAAAGGCCCAGTTTGAGTGATGGAAGAAACCAGATGACACCTTAAGAATGATCGTCACAAAGTGGAGGACAAGATTTGGGGATCATCCGAAAGGTGATGGAAGGAGGGAGCTGTGGGGAGATTTGTTATTTTGACTTTTTCTTATTGATTCAGAAGTTCTTTTTAATCCAGAATATTAATACGGTACCTGTTATTATGCGGGAAGTATCTTTTATCTTTCGTTGCTCATGACATTTTCTCGTTTTGAGAGTTACTGCTTTTTGTAAATTCAAGGCTATCCATCTTTCTCTTTCTGAATTTTGTGTGTTGGTAAAGATGGCTTCCTGAAGGTCACAGATACTTCCTTCTTTACTTTCTTGTTTTTATAGTCCTGGTAATTAGCTCTTTAATCTTTCTGGAGTTTATTCAATACCTGGAAGTGTGAGGTTGGAATCCTACTTTCCCCTACGAAACAAACACTAGCCGTTCCCATTGCCACTTGTCCTTCCTGATTTAGGGTGCTACCTTGGCACACGCTGAGTACCCACAATAAGTCTGCGGCTCCACTTTGGGGCCCGGGAGTCTACTGAGGCAAACCCCCATTGGTTTGTTCCTGTGCCAATACTCCAGTGTTTCAATTATGATTGTTCTGTATTACACTGATATCAGACAGAACGAGTTCTCCTTTAAATTTAAGATGAATGCCCACCGCAGATCTCCCCATGTCCACGTGGAACCCTCCAGCAGCCCCTCCCCTCTCCCTCCCCAGCCTGGCTCCGGATCTTCCTGTTCCGTCATTTCATAGCCATAGAAGCACACAATACCTGGCCTCCTTTCTGGGTTCTTTCATGGGTAAGAACCTGAGTTTGCACAATAGAGATCTGTCCTGTTCCTGTACGGGGTGAGCCTCTCCTTCTAACTGGGTCCTTTTTATGCCCTTTGGTTAAGAACATTTTTTACATGCAGTGATTAGAAAGTTTTTAAGTTTATGCATAGGCACTGTGTAGCTTTGTCAATATTATTATAAGATCTTTTTTCCTATTCTGCCTTATAGATGGTTTTTAATGTAAAGGGAAGCGTTGGGTTTTTGTAAGGTGATCTTATATCGGGCACCTTGCTGGACCATCGGATCAGTTGGACAGTTTGGGTTTTCTCTTGTTGATCATATCAATTGCCAACAGCACAAGTGTTCTGGGCTCCTCTTTGGGTCTTCCCTAGCATACTGGGGAGTGTGATGGCAGGTGTCCAGGGGCCAAGGCCGGCAAGGGAAGGGGGGGGGCAGGACAGGACATAGCCAGCAGAGGGAAAGCACATTTCAAGGCAGTGGGCAGTGGTGGTGGGAGGGTTGGCAGATCAGGGATGGGCTGAGTTCATCCTGGCTGAAGGTGCAGGGGCAGGGGTGTGGTACTCACAGTGCCCTTACCACCCCCGCCCCAGTGAGTCTGGCCTCTTTTGTGAGCATGTGGCTTGGGCATGGGATACTGGGAGGGTGGCAGCCACATCAGCCATCCCCCACGCCAGGAGGGAGGGCAGCCCTTGCAGCCAGCATGCCTCCCGACACCTGTGCGAGATGCTTTGGAATGCTCCTGTGTCTCCCCTCTCCAGACGACTCTTGGTCACCTACCTATGGGAGGCACAGTGGTGATTCTCCAAACAATTCCATAACTGGATTGCAACACCTCAGGGCACCAGAGGGGTCTCACAGCTCCCAGGCTCTGCACCACAGGCAGATTCAGCCCCTGGATTTCAGGAGGGGATTTCAGCCCTAGGGACACTATAGACACATGAAGACTGAGGACAATTCCAAGTCATCGGCCGCTGGAGTTCAGGTGCCAGGGCTGCCCTCCGTCCCAGAATCACTGCCTGGGGTTTGACTGTTGCTGACCTTTGGGGTCCAATGTAGAAGTTCCCCCATCTTAGAAAAATATGACATGGCAGTATTGGCAGCTAGATACTGCTTAAAAATTAAAAATCAAATTATGACAATAATCTTTAGTGAGTTTTTTTTGCATTCAGTGACAATAATCTTAATTACTGACCTCTGAAATCTCAAACTCATCTATTTTCAATCTCAATTTATTTTTAATAGATTATTTATCAAATGTGCTTTCAAATTAAATACCCAGAAATATGAGCTCATTAAAGCAGAAGCCAAGAACAAATTGGTATCAAATTAATTTCCAATCCAACACCTGGGTTGAATGGCTGCTTGTGAAAGAAGAGGGAGTGGGCTGCAGCTTCCACAAATTGTTCCTTAACGGAAACCCTCCCTCCTCTCCCACCCTTGACCCGAGTCAGCCACCGTTTCTCAGCTGATCCCACTTTGGTACCTTCCGACACGGGCTGACACGCCCATGTCACTCCATCGGGATTCACTGCTAAGATGACTAAGCACAAGTACCATGGCTCTAACTGAGGAGTCTCTGGGATAACTCCAACTTCCGGAAATGGAGTTCTTTTCACCAGGACTCACCAAACGGGAATAGATGTGATTTGGTTTGTATCACGCCGTGAGTGGATCATGGCATAGCTCTCAACAATGTGCTTGCCATACCAGGGAAATCTGTGGGAGTGAAGGAGATAGCTTCTGTCCCTGTAAGGGGTCATGACCTCCAGGGAAGGGGCAGAGGCAGAGAGGGCCACGAGGGCAGTACCCCGCCCAGTGTGCACCGGTATCTGAGGCCAGGTCGTCTCCGCACACTGAGGCTGAGGCGGGAGCCAAGCGGGTCTCCTGAACTCATGGATGCTTGGCCTCTTGGGTCTGGAGGTGCCACACCAGTGGGTGACATGGCAGGCAGCATCGTGCCAGAGGAGGACTGTGCCTCAGGGCCTGCTGGTCATCACTGCCCTTGCTGGCGAACCGTGGCTTCTGCTCTCCACACTTCCTGGCCCGAATCCTCCCTCTCTCTGATGCCCCCAAAGACAACAAGCCCCGTGGACTTTTTGTTCTGCTCATCTCTCTAAAGCCACTGTCCCATGAGGGCAGCCTACTTGGCTTTATTCTGCTGATGCACTGCATTCCATCTCTACCAACAAAACCCAGCGTGGAGAGGAGCGCCAAGCACGCATAACCACAAAATTACACCTTTCCCTTTGCAAAGCCTCCAACCATGTATTTTATATACTTACTATTTAACCTAATGCGTTTCCCCACTCCAGTAAAATACATTTTCCTTCTGTTTAATACTATCAATCAAATATAATGCTGGGTAAGAAGAAGATGGAGCAAGAACTCTTGAACTTGAAAATTGGTAGCCCTCAACTGTATGCCCTGTGGGAAGTCAGAACAAGCTCCTGTTACTCAACTCTCAGTGGACCAGAAAGCAGGGAATTTTATGTGCTAAAGTGGTAACAAAAATGGCCCAACCTTGTGATTACAAAGGACTGTGACCAGACAAGTCTGTAAGAGACTCTGCTGAGAGAACATATTTTCAGGGCTGTTTTTCTGGGGGCTCAGAGGGCTCCTCACCCCTGCCACAAGCCACATGGCAAACTACCTGAATTCAGCCTTGGATCACAAGATGCTTTAGCCAGAAGGAAACGTTGGGCCATCTGAGGCCAACTTTGCTCTTCCAGCCAGATTCTACCCTGAACAGACAGATGTGGAGACTGAGGCCCATTTGGCTAAACAGTCACCAAAGGTCACAGAGGCAATGGATGGCAGGGCGGAACCTCAATCCAGCCTCCGACTCCAGGCCAGACAGCATCCCTCCAGCCCTCCTTGCTGGGAACACAAGCTCTCAAGAGCATCTCTTCTTTTGAAAAGAAAAGCTTTCATATAAATTGCAGACTTGTAAGGTCCACTGAGCCTCCTCATGATGTCCCTCCAGGGACAGCAGGACAGTGAAGTCATCTGCACACTCAGAGCAGACAGGGGGGTAGATGGCATGTGGCTTGCAAACTGCTGGCCTGCATTTCAGCACGACTGTGGTCAAGCCCTTGTCCCCTTGTGCGGGACACCAAGCCTCCACAGACCACATGTTGGCTTGGGACTCAAACACGGTGACAGGCACTCAAGCAGCCCAAGTGCCTGCAGAGCTGTCACCCCGTACTTGGCCCTGTGCCTGCGCAGGACAGGATGGTTAAGAGCAGTCGCCACACCCGTGCTTCCCGGCCATCTCTGCTCCGCAGCTCTAACAAGATCCAGGCCTAGTTGAAGACTGTACAGAACAAACCTCGGGCCGTTTG